ACTGCTGGTAGTAGATGGTTTGCCCCTGGGGGATGTAGTAGTTACTGAAGTTCCTGTCGCTCATGTAGGGGGCCGGCTGGTAGTAACAAGTAACGTTGGCGGCGTTGGGGATGATGTTTTGCTCCCCCAGAACCTTCAGCGCCAGAATGGTGATCATGTTCAGCGTCTGCCGGCGCTCGTGTCCCATGAGGCACACGGTGCTCTCATTCACCACGGAGCGCAGAGTCATCAAGTAGTCGTACTTGCTCTTCTCCTCCCCGACGAAGTGGTTGCGCAGGTAGGACTCGATCTTCCTCTGCTGCTCCGCCACGTCGGGGAAGTCGATGAAGAACCGCGAACACATGTAACGCTCCAAGGATTTCAGCTCGCTCTCGCAGGTCGGTTTGTAGTCCCGTACCAGGAGGTTGGAGTACTTCAGGAGCCCTCCCCCGCGGATCTCCTCCGGATTCCTGGTCGCTATCAGCCTACCCTTCAGGTGCTCCATGGCTTCGCCGAAGTTCCCGTACATGCTCTCGGCCAGCACGGTCGGGTAGGACTCTGGGCTCAGCTGGCCGTCCTTCTCCGCGTACACATCCAAGATGGCGTCCAGCACGATCTGAAAGGAGTCCACGCTGAACTCGAACTGTCTCCGCAAGCAATGGACGAACTTCAGCTCCACGTTCTTCCCGCTGTTGTTGGACAAGGAGATCAAACTCCAGCGGTCGTTGTCGGTGGAGACCTTCACCATCTTCTGGACGTAGGCTTCGTTCATGGTCAGCGCCGTGATCTTCTCCTTGTTGACGCACTTGGGGAGGAAGTCGAGGAGGGAATCCAGGACGATCTCTTTCACCGTCTGAAAGGCCGGTTCCCCCGGAAGCTCCACCCCGAATATGATGTCCAGGTCCTTGCAGCTGGTGCCGTTCTGCTGCATGAGGATGTGGCTGGCCGTGGAGCCGTTCAGCCGGATGTCCCGGATGGTGATGTCCTTCTGGACCAGCTGCTCCTTCACCATGCGGATGATGTCCTTCGGCTTGACCTCCAGGGTGGGGAAGTTGCCCCGGCCGTGGATTGGAGTGATCTGCGACAGGACCTGGTCCAGGATGGTGATCTGGTCATCTGTCAGGTTGCTGAATCTGCACTCGGATTGGTCGGTCATGGTGGACAGTCAGCGGATCAACTGCAGGAAACAAAGAGATGCGAGCTGAGTGATATTATGTCACCATCAGTGTCCCCGCCCCCGCCCTGACCTGAACCAATCAAGAGCCAAACACAGAATGAACCAGATGCATGCAATCTGATCCCAACGCTACTCACTCATTTCATTGTCTTTCTGCC